CCTCCAATCGATTAATACACCCAGGTCTTTCTCCACCTCCACCACTTTCAACTCATATGTCCCCAGCTTATAGCAAAAACTCTTGTTGTTAGTCCCTAAATGCATGACCTTGCACTCTGCACTATTAAATTTCATCCCATTTCTATTACTCCAGTTTTCAAGGTCATCCAAATTTTCTTGTATGATATTCCTGTCCTCCAAATTGGCAATACACCTCTACCCAGATATAAGGCTGTCCTCGGGAGCCAAAAAATCTTAACATGTTATAGGTGAAACTGGGTTATATCGTACTTGCTTTGATCCGCCGGAGTGCGCAGCCCCGGAGCACTGTTTTACCGCGTTCTATCCGAATTCGTGTTATATTAGGTCGCGTTATATCGGGGTAGAGGTGTACCTCCCAATTTTGTGTCATCTGCCAATTTTATTAGCACACTCCTACTTTGTGCACCAAGTTCATTAATAAAAATGTTAAATAAGATTGGTCCCAAGACTGATGCCTGAGGAAATCCACTAGTAACTTCCATCCAGACTGACAGGTCTCCTCTCAGTATAATATGCTGTAGTCTCCCCTTCAACCAGTTCCTTATCCACCTTTCAATTCTTGTATTAATCCCCATCTTACCCAATTTAACTAATAACTTCTCATGTGGAACTGTATCAAATGCCTTACTGAAATCCACGTAGATTAATCTATTGTCTTTCTTTTGTCTAGAAAATCAGTTATCTTCTCAAAGAAAGATCACGTTGGTTTGACAAGATCTACCTTTTGTAAAACCATGTTGCATTTTATTCCAATTTCTGTTTACCTCTATGACCTTAACTACTTTCTCTTTCAAAATTTGTTTTAAGACAGTGGTTCCCAAACTTTTGAGGGTCATGCCCCCTCTTATCTGTCTGTGCAGCTCGAGGGGGGAGGGGGAAGAGACGCAGACAGGGGTAAGGTAGTCGAGGCTGGAGCCACAGCTGGAAGTAGGTATGGGGCAACGAGTGGGCTGGGAACGGAGCTGCGGCCAGGGGCCAAAGCTGGAAGCAGAGCTGCAGCCAGGCTGCGATGGGGGTCAGCAACCGGACCCAGCTCCACTCCCAGCCCACCCCACCCTTGGCCGGGAACGGAGCCACGGCCAGGGGCTCAGGCTGGGGGTGGGACCAGAGCAGAGTAAGAGGCTGGGAGGGGCCAGGTGGCACTCTCTTCCTACCACCCGTGGGGGCTGGCCTGACCCCGTTCCCCCCATACTCCCCCAAGAAAACATTCCTCCACACACCCCTAGGGGGACACGCTGCAGTTTGGGGACCTCTGTTCCAAGACCTTGCATATAATTGAGGCCAAACTAATGAACCTGTCGTTTCCCAGATCACTTTTCCCCTACCCCCTCCTAAAAATAGGTACTATCTTAGCAATTCTCCAGTAATAAATTACGACCCCTGAGTTTACAGATTCATTAAAATTCTTGCTCTTGGGTTTGCAATTTCATGCTCCTGGTCCTTTAATATTTTTGGATGGAAATTATTCGGGGTCCCTGATTTGGTCCCAAGCTATTTGAATTTGCCTTCCACTTCAGACATGGTAATTTCTATCTCCATATACTCATTCCCATTAACCACACTGCCATTACTTCTAAATTCCTCATTACCCTTATTAAAAACTGAGGCAAACTATTCGTTGAGGTATTGGGCTAACACCTGTATGCCTGATTATACCAGTAGAGGAGTAGCCCATGATTAAATTCACAAGTTAGTAACCATTTAGCCAGTCATGCCACTAACCAATTATTGGTGAAATAAGGGCCTAATAAAAGTTTATAACATGGCCAGAGAAATAGTGCTAGTTCTCGTCTAGAAAAGATTTTAAAGCATTCCTGGATAACAGTTCTCTTGTAATATAAACAGGGCCTCTTTTTAACATCTATATTCTGACTTGGTTTCAGCTAAACTTGTTTTAATAAACTTTGGCCAGCCAACATGGAAAAGATCCAATCCTATTAAGTAGCATTCAAGAACCATGCTCTATCCCAAGTTTTTGGGCTGTGCCATTACTATAGGTGTGCTGTGTTTCACACAGCTCCCCCATTACAAGTGATCACAGATTAGCCACCAGTGGCCGTGTGTACTGCAAGTTTTATTTATAATGTTCACTATTATACTACCGCCCTAGCCACATTAGTATAGTCAAAGTGCTAGTTTGTTTGTTTTTTTAAACCACAGTCTCATCTAACTCTACTCAGTACTGAGCTAAATGACAAAGCGATAATATCATTATGGGGTGTCAAATTCATTCTTTAGAGCTGGCCAGGGCATAAGTGAAGAACTATGCATTATCATTGTTCAACCAAAGACATCAAAGGGAGGTCTGCAAAATAATCAAGGACAGAATATGACAGAAACATATTCTTACCTTTACCAACACTGATAGGTCTGCTTCTTCTCTTATTTCACCATCCTCCTTACTTTGTTTCTCTACCACTTTGTCTTTGTGGGTTTCTCCGCTTTCTTTTTCTATCTCTATACAAAAAGAAGAACAGGAGTACTTGTGGCACCTTAGAGACTAACAAATTTATTAGAGCATAAGCTTT